AAATCTCCTCCCCAGGAAGCAGCCACTGGAATGAGAGCTCAGTGTCTCAGCAAAGCTATTTCCTAACTAACACGCATTAAAATCTAGGGGCAGAGCTTCCAGTGAGCACGGATGGGTCTTCGCCTGTGCCTAGAGCCGAGCAGCACCACGGACAGGGCTGCTGAAGGCCTGCTGGCGTGCAGACATCAGAACCACAAACCACCGTCTGGAAGTGCAAAGAATCTCACTCACTCACAAAATAAACAAGAGCTTTAAAATGATCCAGCTCAAATTCTAGCTCAAACATTTTCCCCATTTGTGAAAAAAGCTGACCTAACAGAATACATCAATGATTCATGCTTGCCTGTGTCACCCAGGCAGGGGTGGGGGCCAGAGATGAAACTAATTCTATTTTTAAAAGCTCTCTAGGGAAGACAACTTCTTAGAAACTTGTGTTAAAGTTGAATCATCGTGGTGATTATTATTCTTTTTTTATTCATTAAGACCATTTCTTCCTTCTTTGGTCTTTCAAAATGAAAAAGAGTAAGGTCTATTTTTACATCATATGTGACAAGTGGTCCTATCATCCCTTACTCTCACCCCTGCTGTGCCAGACCGGATGTGCAATAGCAGAGTTCAGTGTCACCCAGGTTGCCAGGTGTGGTGGCCTGATGACACAGGGCTCCAACTGTGAGGCCGTGAAATCCTGTCTTCAGACCAGCAGCTGGGCTGACCACAGGTGCTGCTGGTGACGGGTCTAAGGCAATCTTCCTGTCATACGGGAGACACTGCTCCTCTCCACAGGACTTCTCCAAGTTGGCCTTTGCTTGTCTAAGTCCATGAGCAGCTATGCCTTCACTGTGCTTTGCCCTTGTCCACTGATCCTGGAAGGCAACCCTCTGTTACAAGTGACTTGGGTCCAAAAGTCCAAATAAAGCACACACCAAAAACCCAAATTACTCAAACTTACCCTGAAAAAAACTTCACCCTCACCCAGTTCAGGCATCTCTCCAGCAGTGCTTTCAGTAAAATCTGTGTCCCAAGACCAAAAGCCCAAGTTATCTACAGCAGACAGATTTGTTGACACTGAAGCCATTGAAAAGAATCAAGTCACCAGAATTTTAGTTCCATGTGTGGGTTTGCTTGGTAGATTCTTCTTTTCACTCAAATAGGACCCGGGCATGAAACATGTGCAAACCACTGACTAAGACACATGGCACACACCAAAAGTGACAGACTATTACATGTCAACTAATACGGTGTCTAAAGCATTCAAATTATCACCTCATGGGTGGTGAATGATCTGTAAGAGCTTGATGGGGCAGGTGTTTAACACCAGTTGCAAAGATGCTGGTTAGGACACCTCTGTCCCATATCAGAATGCCTGGGTTCAAGTCTTGGATCTGTTCCCAATTCCATTTTCCAGCTAACAGCTCAAGTAGTTAGAATCCTGCCACCCACTGGGAAGACCTAAGATGAGTTCTTGGCTTCTAGGTTCAGCCTAACCATTACAGGTATTTTAGGAGTGAACCAATGGGTAGGATTCTGTGTCTGTCTGTCTCTCTTCCCTCCCTGCCTCTATCATTTTTCCTTTTCCTTCTCAAACAAATAATTCTTTAAAAGGAAGTTTGGTGAATGAGGATGAGAAAGGTTGTATTATATGGCTTACTGAGCTTATCAGGGCAGAGAAGCACCAACATGGCCACACTGGCAAATATTTTTAAACAGAATCCTGGTTTCAAATTCCCAAGCCTTACTGTCCTTAGCGACACTCCCCAGCTGTTGCTGAGGACCTAGTGCATCCCAGCAGGGTCTTTGGGTAGATGCTCTCACGATTGCCACACCCTAGGCACAGCAAGCCGAAGTGGCCTTGTCTAACTTTCCACCAAATACAGATGTCTGGAGACAGGCCATGTCTCACTCACGTCTAAAGACAGTGCACGGAGCACAGCAAGGGCTCCCTACACTGCTGGGTGAAGGGAGTTCAGAGCCTTCAACATCGTACCCCGGAGGAACGTTCAACAAAATGTCTTCCTCCACACTTCTTCCCTCTTTTCTGGGTCACTCATTCAAAGATCAGACAATCTCAGCTACAAAGAGATTTCTCAGACTGCCCTTGAGTCACCTTTTACAAGTTTATTTGACACCTACACCTTTTGTCCCAGAAAAGGCTATCTCTCAGATATAGATGTGCCTTTTCTCCCCCAGAAGATACAAGTTCCTATAAATTTCTTTGATAAAGTACTTCCCAGCTTGGCCAAAACCCTTTCTCTCGAGGGTAAGTTAATCTCCTACCAGGACTAATTCTTATCCCTGGTGTCCTCGCAGAGACACTCTTCCAGAGATACTTTGAGGGCCCACGACAAGAGGGGCTTGGTGTGAAGTCAGCTGCACCCTTATAGATCCTGGTAGGTCCATGTCCCTCCAGCCCACACAGTGACTCAGCCTTCCCAAGTCACGGCTCAGACACCAACAGTGTGTGGCTCCACCTCTCCTCCCCCATTGGACACCAGGTCCTGGGTAGTTTGGCACAGGCAAGTCCCCAAGTCCCCAAGCATTATAACTAAACTACACTGACTCCCCTCATCAATTATGTACATCCTATGGGCACAGGACCAAGATACCACATGGTAGACATTGCTCATACTCCCAGCGAGGAAACACCACCGCAAAACATAAGGTCAGAGGGAAGCAAATGAATAGGAGACAGCCCTTCGGCACCAGGAAAAGAAAACCAGGTGAAAAGGAGAGCAGAGCACTGGTACAGAGGGAGGCACACGATGTCCCCTGAATTACCTTCAGACTTAGGACTAGGAGTAGATGCAGGAAACTGGTAGGTAGGAGTGTAAGGATTGTCCTCTGCAGCAGAGAAAAGCAGTGGGTTTTGAATCTATCCACCGTGAAGTGGAGGAGCTGACAAGTCCCCAGCTGACTCTTTCGAATGACTGATTACCATTTTTAATGTTATTAAAACACAATGGCATCACACTTAAAAAACAGATTAATGAGTTAGAAAGGACTTAGTCATTTTAATACAGCACATCATGCAAATGAATGAAATAAAATTTCCACCAACCAAAAATGACTATGAGAACAAACTCTAGAAGCCAAAACCTTATGCCGATAATGGAACTAAAGGAACTACTTTAAAGCTAAGGCAACAGATACGCTGTCTAAGTTGATGGTACCTTCAGAATTTTGCTGGCTTTCAGGAAGTTCAGGGAATTTGTACGTAGGGAAATAAGGGTTTTCTTCAGGTGTGTCTGGACAGAGGAGCAGGTTTTGGAGAGAGAATAGAGGAAGATACAAATGGAGAGAATGAACGAGTAGAAATGCAGACACAGTTCAGGCCCAGGCCCCTTGCTTATGGAACAAGACAAGCTGTGCTAGCGATATGTCAGAAATCCAAACTGCTTTAAGGAGAAAATCCAGTCCTTTTGCCTGAATTGCTGAGACACATCAGAAAGGATCACATCATTGTCTTCTGGGACAGAGAATTACATAGAAACAGGCTCCATGCGTAAGAGGCCTTTAGAACATGGCTTCAAGTTTTCACTTCTTGTTGGTTAAGAAGTACTAAGTATGATAATAAGTACTTTGTAATGAAAATACTAGACTAAAATGTTACACAAATGCTTGTAATTAGACATTAGAATCCAGGCAAACACATAGAGACTCAAGTCTGCAAATATCTCTGCCTCTCATTAGGGCAGCAGTTGGGTTTGGCACCTGTCGTTTGGGCTGAATTAATAACTACATACAAGTAGGCCAATGAAACTATGTCTTTGGCTAATATGCATGCACCCTGTGTATCCGCATTAGATTTGCACAAGGTAAAGTCACACATGGATGGAGGAAGTGACCAGTGGAATTGATCATATTCAATCACAGAGGTTTAGCACTTAGTAGGGCCGTTATGACTGAGCTCAGCCAGCTAACCCTAACAGATTTTACTCCTGATTCTTTCTGGTGCTCAGTATTTGGCATTTCTGAATCTACAGAGGGACACACCCAGATTCACTGTGAACCCAATGGGAGCTAATTAACAGTGTTGCGAGTGGGCATCCGCAGCTCAGTAGAGACACTGGACATCTGCGGCTTAGGTGGGAACCCTACCCAGAACACCTTCTCTTTGCCTTCATGTGTCAATCACATCAGGCAGCCAGACTGGATTTGGGCACAGGGAAGGACAGGATGCTCTGCCTGCAGGAAGAGTGGTACCCTTCCCACGGTGTGGCCACAGCCCTGCCTGCTGGCAGCCTGGCAGTGATGGGAGCTGATGGGGCCATGACCTGTGTGAGTGCTGACCTGTGGCTCTCCATGCTGGGTCACCTGCAGCTGGGCAAGTAAACCCCTAGTTTAGAAGCACTTGTCTTTCAGCTTGAGCAGGCTTTGGCGTGTCAGCTCTTGACTGACTCTCACGGCTGTCTGCCAAGGACTGGCTCCCAGACCAGATATTTTTCCTATCAGCCCAGCCTTACAGGTGCACTGTGGCTGCTACTTCATAAGGCCTCAGGGATTCCCATTTAGACCATGTGACATCCCTCAGAGGCAAGGAAGCAGGACAAACACAGCAGACTATGATGCTTGACCCAAAGTCCCACAAGGACTTAAGAGGCTGAAGCTAGGTGAGAGCACAGTTTCTTTAATGGCCAGTAGGTCAGCGTGCCCTCCATTCACTCCACCCACAAGGCAGTCACGGGCTGACACGGAGAAATGGACCTAACACTGGAAGCAGGTGGGAGTGGGAGCGGTTTGCATCCCAGGCAGATGGATACTGCACCACAGGCAGCAGCTTGCCAGGCTCAGCCCGCTGCATTCCTCATCTGGAAAGGAGGACTTGTGAGTAACCCTCAATTCCCAAACACAAGGCACGCAGCTGCTCTCAACATCCTCTGAAGGTATATGGCCAGTATCAGCAAACCAGTGCCTATAGGTTCTCCTAGCAAAATGAATCAGCCCCCACTTGCAACAGTCAGCACCTGGTCCACAGCACAGGTTTTACAAATGAAAATCAGTACCTCTGTTCAGTTTGTGGATCTGTTTAAACATGGTCTTGTACCAGTCTTTTGATCTCTCGGTGTTCTGGATAAAAACAAAAGCAAAGAGTAAAATACAATGGAAACCTTGGCCTGTTTTGCAACATTTCTGATTATTAAATCAAAATCAAATGGGGAAGTGGCAACATCCAACATCACAAGTGTTGCATTTACGTCTGTTTTAAAAAGACAAAATGTTTGGGGAAGAAAAGGCAGCCAGACTAGAAGATTCAGACCTGATTCAGTCCAGTGACGTTTGACCGAAAGAATGCCTGTTTTTGAAAATAGTGGAGGAAGATCCACCTCAGATGTGTCCATTCCTATTTTATAAAATTACACTTATGGAGAGAACCTTACTTTATATGTGACCTAGGCTGACCGAAGTAAAGCATTCTAGACTGTGAGAGATATATACCCATGCCATGCTGAGCCCCTGCCCACTCTGGCTCACTCTGTAGAAATAGGTCTAGGTGGAGCTGATGCTGTGACACAGTGAGTTATGCCTCTGCCTGTGACCCAGTATCCCATGTAAGTGCCAGTTTTATTCCCAGCTGCTCCACTTTTATTCCAGATCACTGCTAATGTGCCTGGGAGAATAATGAAGGATGGCCCAAGTGCTTGGGGTCCTGCACCCATGTGGGAGAATCCAGAAGAAGCTCCCAAGCTCCTGGCTCTGGCCCTGTCCAGCCCCAGCCATTGCGGCCATTTGGAGAGTAAACCAGCAGACAGAAGATGTCTCTCTCTTTGTTTGCCTCTCTCTGTAATTCGTTCAAATAAACAAACCTTTAAAAATTTATAAAAGGAATTCTCTTTCTGCATCATTACTTAGGACCACAGAACAGTTCTTTTGATGCAAAATCCACTGTTATTTCTATTGTCCTCTTCAGAGGGATGAAAAAACAGATTTTATTTGCAAGATGGAAGTTGTAGAACATACTGCAGCCCAGGATCTGGCAGATGCAGGGGATGACTTGAATTCACCCAACTCCCAGGTCAGAATTCACCCAACTCTCCAGCTTCCCTGGAGCTGCCCGAGACCTGCAGGTGGCGCCTGTGCAGCAGGAGAGAGCCAGAACACGGGTATCATGAGAACTGCTCCTCCATGGAGGCCGGCTGAATCCGTCCTGTGGCCCCCTTCCTGTCTCCTGCTCAGTCACTCCATCATGAGAGCCTTGAACAGGAACCCTGGCCCTTAGCCTCTCTAACCCCAGATCACGAATTTCTGAATTGGCTCCACAGAGCAATAATAAAGGAAGACTGGCTACAACATTCTCCCCTCCAAGGCTTACAGACCCAGGGCCACTCAGTAGTTCTGCTGTGGAGGAGTTTCTCTGATGCGGTTCCAGCCAGCCTTCTATTAATTTGCCCATGAGGCCTACTTCTCCGGAGACTTCTGAGCATCCTCCACCTGCTCTGGGGAAAGTGCTACCTGCAGCACAGCTCCTGGGGGCTCACAAGCACATGGGGTACACACTTGTCACAGCCTATTTAAGATGAGGTCTCACAAGGACTTGCAGGTCAATACTCATACCCGAAGTGGGATGCCCACTGCATCCATGGATGTGTCACTCAAGTCCTGTGCGCTCTGAACTGCCCGCCTGCCGCCATCCTTGGCCTTTGGCTCTGTGGCCCGGACAGGTGAGGTGGGTTTTTCCGGGGCTGGTGCCAAGGGCTGTTCTCCCACTCTTCTCTCCAAGACAGGATCTGGAAATGAAAAGCAATCACAGGCTGTGGCTCTCCTGGTAGCTCAAAAGCAATAAAAACCTTCCCAACAGTCCAACTAGGAGAAGCATACTAATTTTCAATCGCAACTAACCTTGCTTAGAGTAGGGATCAGCAAGCAAGGGCCCACAGGCTGGCCACTTGTCTTCGTTAAGTCACATCTCGCTGGAATTTAGCCATGCCATCTCTTTGACATGTTATCTTAGAATGACTGAGTGCTACCGTGACCAAGTTAAGCAGACCTGACAGTAGTCATTAGGTTTGCGCAGCTTAAAAAAGTGCTGTCTTCCCCTTTAAAAAATGTTCCAAGAGCATGACAGTGCCTTGCAGGAGAATACACCTTGTCTGAGTAGTTCCAACTGGTCTAGAAATTGAGAAAGCAAGTAGAAACACAAGAGGTGGCTAGCCAGCGCTTGGAAGTTCTTGCTTCATCTCATGCAGTCACTTCCCTTCACCTCAGTCTCCTCACACAAAAATGGAAATAATATTCCCATTGGCAAGCACACAGAAATGCTACGAGAGGACTTATGAAGATACCCTCAGCAAAGTACTCAGAAAACTGTGCCTTGCTAAGTGCACATTCAATATTATTTAACTTGGTTCAAGATTAGAAGTTACAGAGAACTAATAAACACAAAAGTGTGAGCTACAGCTTAGAAAACTACTTAACATCATCCAAGTTACATCATTTACATATGGGATAGGCATTTACCCAGCACCTGCCAGACACTATGCATCAGCTCCTGTCCGCCCTGTGGGTATGTATGAAGATGAACTTCTCAGAATCTCAACTTTCAGCACGTTCACAGTCTAGTGGGCAGAGAGCCTTGATGCCCGTCAAGGGAGCATGGATGCTGAGGGCTGACACAGGAGCTACATCCTACTCAGCTGAGGAATTCAAGTTCAGGACTGACTTCTCATGGGGGAAATCAACCAGCCAGGAAGAAGTGAAGGGTAATCCCCACAAAGGGGACAGTAGCACAAGCAAAGGACTGGCAGGGGTGGGCACTGAACTGCTACACTTCTCATCATTTCCTTTCATCCTCTCAGGAACCATGTGAGGAAGAAACTACCATCATCCTTCCATTAGGGGGAAAAAATGGCTAAGAGAACTAAAGCAGCAAAATAGTATGCTTGGGATCATGTGGCCAGCATAAGGCAGTGCTGGGAGGTGGCCTGCAGTCCACCTGACCCCAGCAGTCCCAGAGAAGCCATATCCCGCCCTGCCACCCTCAAAGCAGGCATAGTGTCTGGGAGGGAAGGGAAGCATGGCTGCATCCGCCTACACACAACAGCTTTGAGAAGACATGACACCTTTAAGCAGAAAAACCCGAGACCCCAAGGAGAAATAGAAAGGTAACCCGAGAGACGCCCTGGCCAGCAGTGGAGCCATGGACATGAAAGCGACAGCTGGGGTCGATGACACCGAGAGCTTAGTGTTGCCACAGAGCCAAAGAATTCCACATGCAGGTGGAGCAGCCCAGAGCCAGAAGGAGACAGAAGAGAGCAGCAAAGTGCCACGAAGCCAGGGAAGAAACAAGTGGAAGGGTAAACCTTTCAAAATCCCCAAAATGGAAACAGTGGAGGCAGCAGCAGCTTAGGCAAAAAGAAAGGAATATTCTGAGGCAGTGGTTCCAACAGCACATGGGGGAAGGGAACAGGGAACAGGCTGAGTGGGTGAATGAGCAGAGGCCTTGGGACAGATGTGGAGATGGAGGTTGGGAAGGAAGAGTATGTCAGGCAGTAACTTGCAAGGACAAAAGATTTGGGCAAGAGAGGCACAAGCCAGGGGCACTGCAAATGCTAGAGGTGAAGGCCCCGGGTGACGATAAATGGCACAGAAACATGTCCCAGCAACTGCCTAGTGCTTGGGAAGTACCTGTCTCATGCCTGAGAGGCTCACGTCTCTGAGAAAGGTTAAGGGATGGGCTACGGCCTGAGATGGCAGGACCCAGGCAGAGTTGGGACAAAGTCAGCACTGTGTCTGTGTGTGTGGAGGGGAGGCAGAACTGTGACGCCAGCACACTTGGTTGTTATGACACCCAGTCCAGCCAACAGGCAACTCTGCCCAGATGGCACAGGAACTTCTGCAGCCCACGCTCAGTCTGTGGGGTTAGAACGGTTTCTCAATAATTCTGAGACTCAGCCTAGCGAGTGTCCAGGGAAACCTGATCCCTGACACCACCACCATAAACCTTCGCAAGTGTTAAACCAGCCTGGCTTTAGAGGAGAAGCTCTGTACCCAGCAAATTCCAGCGTCAGGGCCGAGGTCTGGGCAGGCCGCCTGCGAACACAAGAGGAGCTCGAGTGACCAGAGACTGCCCTCAGTACGGCCATGCCAAGCAGTCCCCATGATCACCACCCTCTGAAGGCCCTGATGGATCCAGAAGGAGCTGGTGAGCTGCTGGCAAGTTCTGTCTACATGTCCTGGAGAAGCTTCCAATACAAGATGACAGAAAAACCCCAGACGTGCCATCCCCAGGTTTCTAGACCCAGATTAATTTGTCTTCTAATTGCTAGAGTAGTGGCTCCATCAGCAATCACTCAACTGTGAAATTCAGGCTGACAGTTCATGGCTTTGTCCTCAAGCTAGCTGCCAGAGTCCTTTCAAATGACAAACACAGCCCTAGATAATTTTACTTTAGAAGCCTGTGGTCACGTGGCTCAGGATGGAATGGGTTTTGGAATACGGAGGGCTCAACGGTAGCCCCTGAACAGAGGGCTAACCTATCAGGAAAGTCCAAAGTCACGACTGGACCAGGCAGGTGGTAGGGCCATGCATATGACAGGCAAAACTCGCTGCTATTTTTCCCTGGGAAGGCACTGATGCCACCCCACACAGCATCCTGGTGAGTTTCCTTGGAGATTTACATGATGCCTTAACAAGGAAGGGTGTGGCCACTAAATAAGAGACACTGACAACCTGAGCCATGGTGTCCCTTTGTGTCACAGCCACAGATTTGTGATGGCTGTGTCTCCTCCTCTCCCTGAACCCTCAGCTAGCCTTCCAGTGCAGCTCTTAATGTCATTCTCCCATCTCCCCAAGCAGAGCGCAAGCCACAAGAGGCCAAATGCCAAACAGGGGGAGCTCATTCCCACCAAGGCTCAGGCAGGAATAAGCACCACAGGGGTCTCCGAGCAGAAGTAGAGACCGGCACACTGGCCTCTCTCCTTCAGTGGCTCCTGAGCAACCCAGGGAGCCTGGATGCAACGGGCTGATTCCAGACTTGAGCAGGAGAGCTGGGCCTGCCTACAAGAAGCCCTCTTCTCTGCGTGCTCTTTCCTTAAGAGCAAAGCACCTTTCTCCTTCGCAAGGCAAAGATCATTGTCCCTAAAGCTCCAGCAGGAAACCTGCTCAAAGAGGTGATGTCAGTCACCCAGGAACAAATGGCAAGGGAGGGTCCGGACCAAAATCTGGGTCTCCTAGCGTGTGGCTGACTGCCTTTGTCACCATTCCACCACTCCTCTCAAATTCCATTGGGCTGGGAGGAACCCACAAGAGTCATTTTCTTTTTGCTTTCAGAACCATTGTGTCCAATGCCACCTGGGCTGTGGCCAGGGAATGCACTGGAGAGTGGCAGCCTGAGCAGGGGCAGCCAAGGGCACTCTGGACTCTGTCGCAGCCTGTTCTGGTCCTGGGACCAAACCCTGATAAAGGTGGGGAGCTATGAGAACCCCTGGTCTCCCTGCGCAGGAACTATACAAATCACAAAGGACAGCAGTGGCAAGAAGTCACAGAAGTCATACGGCAGCTGCCCAGGCAATGGTGGCTGCAGTTATCCACCAGCACAGGGATTCTTAACCCTGCCATTTCACTGGGAGGTGAAAATCAGAAGTACTGGTGTGACACTGCCTGGGAGAGGGGTCAGCTGTCTTCGTGAGGCTCTCACAAGGAGCCCACGGCACAGGAAGTTGGCAAACTATCAAAGCACACTACAAGATGCTCAGCCCAGCTGAGCACCCGATACACAGGAGGCAGTCAAGGAAATGGCCTTGACCTGGATGGCTCAGTGGAGCACCTGTTGATAACAGGCACTCCCAGCTCCTGGCACTCAGTGCTCAGCTGGGAAGAAGCAGATCCTCATTTGGTCTTCACAACCTGCGAAGCACTACTGCTTTCCCCCATGACAGAAAGCAAAACTGAGACCCTGGGACATTGCATAACCGGCCAGAGGTGGCATCAACTCTCAGTTCACAGGAGGACAGGGTTTAAAGCAGAATGGCTACAGGAAGCCAGGAGGAAAGAGCTAACCCCTCCTGGAGGTCCTGAGTGTCCTCAGGCTGTCGGCCCACATGTCTGCTTCTTCTCCATGCATCTCATCAGGGACCAGGCCCAGGGACCAGCCTATATCTAAGTCATTTGCCTTCATGAGTGGCCCTTGACACACTGCCATGCAGTGTGGTCAGCACAGAGGGCATCACAGGAGAGCCAGTTAGAAATGTAAATTCCCACCCAAACCCAGGAACCTGAGCTTTGGTATGCTGCTCTCCAGGGGGTTCTGATGCCAACGTGAGGCCTCCCACCTGCTTGGATCCCAGTACTCTATGGGTCTCTACCTGCACGTTTCAGCTCAGACTCCCAAAAAAGGAAGGTGTTTGACCATGCTTCCCAATCCAACCTGGCACATCCTGGGAGAGAAATGAAGGCCAGAGGGTGACCTCTTCAGAGAGGCCTGCCACAGACGTACCAAGAGCATAATCCTTGACCCAGAGTGCTGTGTGCTTGCTCCCCAGGCTCAGAGCACAGTCCCTAGAAGGCACAGTGACCAGTTCATCTGATCTACCCCTGGCCAGCTGCTCCAGGAGGCAGGGACCAGGCTTGCTTCCCTCACCTCTAGAGTCCTGCAGTAATCATTGCCCCCACCCCATGACAACTAACATGGGACCCTGTTAGTTGTGCATGGCAGGCTCACCAAAACATGGCTTCAAGAGGAAAGGGGTTAACCTGTAAACAAGCATTTCTCACCTACCTGGAAGGCTACTGAGTCGTTTTTGCTGTTCTGTGACAAAAGAAAAGAACACAGAGTGTGAGATTTACACAGTCCAAGGGAGCCCACCAAGTCCTGCCATAAGCTGTGAACATCCCAAACCCTGAGTCCTCCCTGTCCCCTGGCTGTAAGGGCCAAAGTGGGCAGCTTTGCTGAAGGCAGTGTCTCCCAAAGTCCCCCCAGATCAGGCCTTGTGGACATCTGCCCTGCAGGTGAGGTCATCTCACCAGGAGGGCCACCTAGTCCCAGTGTTTTCAAGTGAGCAAGACCCTATGTAATGTCTCTTGGTACCTGCTGGTGAAAATTTATCCTAAGTGGAACCACGGCACCCCATGGGCCAGCTATATCACACCAGACACCATTTTAAGAGCATAAACGTATAACACTTGTGATCTGCACAATAGCCACAGAAGTCAGATGTGACCATTATCCCCAGAGTACAGATGAGAACACTACGACACAACTTTAGCCACTGTAGCAAGCTGGCTGGCTTAGGGTACAGGAGAAATCATTAGAAAAGAAAAAAGCAGCTTTAGCCAGGAGACCTCACATTATCCAAGATAACACTGAAAACCAGATGGGTCTAGAACCAGACCCCCCAGCACCCAGGGCTCTTTCTAGCTTAAATCACCAGTTGCTCTCTCAGCTTCTCAGCCTCCGGGGCACTGGTGTGGAAGGGAGGCCAACATCTCCCTATGAGAGTTCAGTGTATGCTTGCTATCAGCTAAGCATGAAAATGACCTTTATCATCACAGCTGCTAAATATAAAGCAGCCACAGAGATAAAAATAGAGCATTTGCCAGCCCCTGGTGCTGTCACTATCCCCCTTGGCCATGCCCCTACCCTCCTGCCACAATCAGCAGGGGCAAGAAGCAAACAGGGACGCTTGAGAACTCACAACAAGGGAAAGCTGAGGCTGGCCCGTGAGTGCTCCCTGGCCAAGAGAGGCTCAAAGGAGGTGACAGTGGACCCCCTCTGCCCATTTCCCTGTTGGCTAAATCAAAGTGTTTTGTGTGGTGTAAGGGCATCCCTGGACTCTCCAAACACTACTTGCAAGCTATGGGCAGGACCCAAGCAGCTGGCAAGAGGAACCAAAACTCAACCTAAACAGTGATGTTGTTTCTGCTTCATGAGTGCGGGACAATGCTGCAGGCAGCCAGGGCTGTTTTCAGTGGTGCTACTTTTCCATGTTGGAAGTGTCCATTCCAAGGGGAGCCCCAGACTGGTTCACAGCTAAGCCTGGGAACCATCAAGCCCTTGCTCTCCAGCATGGCCCATGGGCTGGCAGCCCTGGTAGGCTCAGAGCACATGCTGGACACAGAATTACATCTTCTCTTCCCCCAAGACATGGAGAATCTGAACCCGTCAGCTAACAAGACACCAAGGATCTGATACAAATAAAAGGCTGAGAATCCCTGAGCAAGGCAGATAACTCACTACACCTGCACCTCCTTCCATCCTCAGTGTGTCCTGAGTAAAAGCCCCCATTCTAGGATGGTAAGGGAGAAGAGTCAAAGGAGAGTATGGGTGGGAGCCCTCCAACCATTGGTGCCAAGCCATAGGTTCCGAGTCCCTCTCTTTCTAGCAGGGAAGGCTGGCGTGGGGAGATGGGACTGTTGTCAAAGGACAATTCTTTTAGGATGACAAACTGAGAGAAGTGAGGTGGACAGATCATTCCCTCGGGAGACTGTGCACTGTTAAGAAGCTGTTGCTGAGTGCACTGTCCATGAGGTGAGGCTGGACTGTCAGGCCAGGTCAGCTCGGCTGCAATGCCCAGAACACTTGACCCATGAGAAGCAGCAAAAGCCAGCGTCAGGAGGCCCATTTATTCTTCTCAATGTTTCCTGCCCTCCTACTTGTAGAACATATAGTTTTGCTCTTTCTGAGAAGCCACCATTGAATTAAATCACCACCACCACGACCATCACCCCAACTTCTTCACAGCAACACGCAGGGCCTTTTTATGAAGAACATGCTGCTTAGGCTATACAATTTCAATGTTTAGACTCTTGGGCAGGACTGGGACAAAGGAAAAGGGCAAAGGAATGTGAGTTTAAAAACCAAAAAACTTGATTGTTTAGGGAGGAACCTAAAGCGAAGGAGGGCATTTCTGTGCCTGAGATGCTGTTCCAGGTGTCGTCAGAGGGCTGGGTGGGAGCAGCTGGCATTACACTTGGCACTTCCCAACAACAAACAAGTTGCCTTGGGAACAAATCCCATTTTTAAAAGAATTTTAAAATCTCTTTTCATTCTGGGAACCAACTTGCTTCTGTTTGGAGTTTTAAAATTTTTTTTAAAAAGATGAGTCACCAAGGAGTTCATAGAAAACCAAAATTTTGCTTTGTCCTGTTTTATAGACACTTTCTGGGCAAAGTTAGAGCCTGCCAGGAAGGGGCAGGGTGGGACTGGGCTGAAAGGAGAATGGTTTCCCTGTGGTCAGCATGGGAGCTGGGACCCTGTTTACTTTAAAGACCACAGATGCAGGAGAGAAAACTAATATGGGGGCCACACACAAAGGGGATGCATGGAGAAGGAACTAGACTACTAAAACAATTATTTAGGACTAGAGTGGGAAGATTCCAAGTGACAAAAAATGCTTTATTCATCTACTTTTCAAATTAGAAGCATGAAACAGGAAATTCTATTTAGTGTGGGAAATAGTTAAAAATAGACACTGGTCCCATTCTCACCCTGGTTAGCACAGAAAGAGAAGGAAGAGCGAAATTGACAAAGTTGGTGAACAGGCAGCCAGGCGAAGGAAGACTTAGTCCCAGGCTCTGAGCTCTGAACAAGACAAGGAACTTCGGTGTTCTTTCAAAGTCTACACTACGCTGGAGGAACAGCCTGAAAATGCTGTGCTTCTGTGGAATTTCAGAAGGAGAAACTTGAAATTGAGAAGCACTGTTTGGAATGCTCAAGCAGAAGGGTCAACAGATACAACTGTCCCTAAAGCTCCACCTTGTCAGTCAAGCTCAAGTGGAAAAACCAATCAGGAGCAGCCTGAGGAAGCAGGCAAGCAAGCTCCAGACTGAACAGCCTGAGGCACAGAGAAGGACAAACCCAAGGTCCCAGGAGATGACACTGACCAAACCTGCTGTACCTGGTGCCCAATGGGGCTGGAGACACTAGGAAAAGATTGGAGGCCTCTGGTTTGGAGGCACAGAAACACACTTCGTGCTTCAGAAATGTTTCTTCTTAAATCTAAGCACACCACATTCTGCTTTCTAGAAAACTACATCAGAGACATAAAAATTGTTAAGACACTACTTGGAAGAAAGATTACTGTACCTAGATTTTCTAAGCAAGGTGTTTCATTAGAATTAAAAGACACAAATCTGGAGTGAGCATTTAACCGATGAGCTAAGATGCCTGTGTGTCATATAGGAGTGCCTGGGTTTGATTCATGGCTGGCTCTTGACCCCTCCTGTCCAGGCAGACTGAGAGGTAACAGGTATTGGCTCAAGGCACTGAGTCCCCATTATCCATGAGATACCTTCGTTGAGTTTCCAGCTGCCAGCACAGGCCTGGCCTGGTCCTGGATAATGTGGACCATTTGAAGAGTGAACTAGCAGATAGTTGAGTTCTTTCTATGTCTCTCTCGCTTGCTTGCTTTTTTTCCCCTCTTTCCTGATATCAGCATCCAAACAAGACAACCATGAACACCCAAAGCCTGGAACATACACTGGCCCAGCCTGCTTACTCAAACACTGGCCCAAAGCAGGGATCCTCTCTCTGCCTACTGGCAATTCTGCAGGTCCTATGAATGAGTTAAATGGGCAGGAGGCCCAGGACGAGATGTATGGACATTGCCGTGCACAGGCAGATAGCTGTGTGGACGTCTCTGGGCTGGGGGAGGATGGCCAGAGGCCCTCACCTCGGTTATGCTGCAAGAGCACGATTGTAGGGTTGACGATGGTGGTGGAGGGGTAGGCGGATGAGGGCTTGCTCACTGGTGTGGAGGCCTGGGAGTCACTTCCAGTGTGCGAAGACACTTCATTTAGTAGCAGACTGGAACCCTGAAAAGGAAACTCACACCATGACCAGCTGTAAGTACAAGCCACCAAGGACTGATGCTTTCTCTAAGGAAGAAAGATAAAGTTGGACACACAGATCTTAATTACCAAAGGAAACAAAATCAGTGAGACATATCACAACATTAATTCCAGTTAGAGGCTTAATCTGGAATGCATACTCTCTGTTGGCAATTAGTAAAGGCAGAGGGGCAGGGCAAATGTTACTGAGCATCTTGAAAACATCATTCATTGGTGTCACCTGGAGATAGCTGTGAGTGAATCTGGTTACTGAAAAAGGCAAATTCAAATCAAAGTAGAGCAACATGCAAAACCCATGCAATTCCAAATGAGGTCCAAGAACAAGAGCTGGTTGAACTGGGAAAAATCAGGGTAGTTTAGTATCCCAGGTTGACAAATGAGAGAACTTGAAGACACAGAGGTAAGAAGAGGGAAGAGCTAAATAATACTTCTCTCAGAAAGCTACGCTTCACCTCCGAACTACTGAGCAATTGTACTAACGCTGGCTGCTGAGCTTTAGGTTTTATCCTATCCTGCTGTGACTTTTTTTCATTCTAAAATTAGAGTGACAAAAATCCCTGAAGTAAAGGCTTCTGAGAATCCTGACTTTAGAAATCTGAGGCCTCTTCCAGAAATACCAATACAGTGATTAATACTAACATAATGTGCACAATGGGGAGTCATGCCAGTTTTTTTCAACCAATAAAAATAAGACTCCCCTCCCCAATATAGCAAGCCTGTTTCAGAGCTTCTTCCATCATATCTGTCTGTCTCGCAAAGATTCTCCTCCAGATTTTACAATCCGCCAATCCAGGATAACATTCTTAAGGGGATGTGAGAACCAGATTTTGGTAGCTAACCCTGAAACAATTATTCTATTGCATCAAAAATGAACTGTCACGTAACTACCTGTGGAATGAGGGCCAGGCACCTTTCCTCCTGTCTCTTTCTCCTTGCCCCTCCCGCCGCCCCTAATCCTAGCAAATGTCCTTCAGATGCTCAGCAAACTTCCCACAAATGCCAGGACCAATCTACCCCATGTGCGACCAAGGATTTGTACAAGAGAACCTTGAATTCAGCAGGATAGAGGTGGTGCAAGTCAGCACCCAAGACGGCTCCTCACACACAGTAGGGCTTCAAAGCCCTGGCGTGAGGTGGTCTCTCTCCAGAAATGACATAAACAGCCACTGCCTGCAGTTGTGAGTAGCAGCGCAGCTAGTAAAGGAAATCTTTCTCTAAGGCACAGTGTGATCTTGCACAGCCTCTTTTCGATTCTGTCATTTATAAAGTGGAAAATAATTACACTCTTCCTAATTTATCTCCAGTGATAACAATAAAGATGAACATGCTATCACTAAAAACTCAGACACGCAGCTCTTTAGAGCACACATGTCTGATGTGAGCATAAATTCTTTACACACTCACTGTGCTGAATTGCTAGAATAGCACAAAGAGAAGTGGGATCACCTAGTGCTTTTGCTCCTCCTGCTGACTCTCCTATAGATGGAGCATCCACCATGTAAGGCTCAAATACCGTCCATGGTGACATCAACTGTCACACTGACCCTAAGCAGTTTCCTTTCCTCACCTCCTAAGCTGTGACCTGGGGACAAATCAGACGCTATCAGGAGGTCTACAACAAGCTGGTCACTGCCTTTTCTACTGTCATCGTACTCCTCAAACTGGTTGTGAAAACCTAGATCTATTCCAATGATACACTACAGGACACACAGCACAGCTACTTAGTGGTGTACGCACATCCGACACACAAGAGTCCCTTTATCTCCTGCTGGTGAGACACACCCTGTGTGTAAGGGGTCAACTTCTCCTTTTCCTACAACAGGGCTAAGCAACAAAGCTCAGCATTAGAGGGACATCCAAGTCTATGGTCACCTTGGGCCTGGTCCTGATTGATTTGAGAAGAGACCTGTGCGTCCCCATTGCGGGGATGAAACAGGTCTCGGCTTCACTGCAGCCGCACTGTGATTCCTCCAACAAGCCAAACAGAACGTGTCCCCCTTTCTGCATGACTGGTTCCGGCTTAATGAGCTGTTTGGGCCGGTGGAGTGTGGACACCTTCTTCCACAAAAGGGAGTGTGCCACACATCACTGCATCTCAAAATGCAGGACATGGATCCCAGCATCAGGAACTCTCATGGTGCTTGCTGCCAAGTGAGGGTCCCACATCCCTCCCAGACCCACTGCATGGACATTTTGGGAGAATAGCCTGGAGCTACCTACTCAGCCCCTATTCTTGTGCAAACGGCCCCACCTCCCTTCCCTGTGAGAACTGAACTGCTACCCAGCTCTGCCAAAACAAATAAGCAAAAGGCCTGAGAGCAGGGGCCATGATCTGTTTGTTAGTGGTTGTACCCAGGGTACCTAGGGAGGGCAGAAGCACCTCGGCTCACTGTTCACTGGCGAGTCGCTGGAGAGTCACTATCGCCCTGATTCTCAGGGCAAGTCCTCAGCACTGTAGTGAACGTCTCCTGGATCCCACTGTACCGACAGCCTTGTAGGTGGATCCGGGTTTCCCCACATCATGCCCATCCTGAGATCTACTTAAATTCTCTCAATTCCCAGGACTCCTGAGGGAAAGGGGCAGTGGCAAAGCTTTTTCTCTAGAGGGCTGGGCTTTTCCTATGGGACAGGGACTCAGCCCCTACTGCCAGGGGTGCCAGGGCCCTGTCTCCTCAGCACTGGAGTCCCCTTCAGGAGCTCTAACCTTTTGGGGGAAGCTCCTAACCCTTGTACAGAATCCTTTGTTTAAAGATTTTTTTTTTCTTTAAAATCCCAGTCCTTGTTAGTTTGGGATGTAAAACTAGAGTTTGTTGACTGACAACTTGTAGGGTCTCTTCCCCCTGCTCACCATCAAGTGGGCTGGAGCCTGCAGGAGGCTTCCCTGCCTGTTTTCCCCACTTCCCTCCACACTGTACATGGCTACACCTGCCTGGCCACAGGGAAGGTTGTAGCGGAAAAGTGTTCTCAGGACAGAAGAGGTGCTTGGAGGGCTCAGGAGCAGCGGCGGGAGGCAGGGGGCACACAGGGGGCATGCACTTGGGCTCGGTCATCACGCAGGCACTGGGTAGTGCGATGAGAGGGGTGCGGTTGCCGGCAGGAGGACACAGGCACCAGGGAAGCCGTGGGAGGGGGTCCAGCAAGCTTACGGTACTTGGAACAGCTCCCGTGAGGTCAGGCTCTGAGACGCTGCGGAGGTCCTCCGGGGCCGGAGGGACCAGTGGAGGTGGTGGTGAGAAGGATGGTGGTGGCGCGTGGCTAACGGGGGACAAGGAGCCACAAGCACTGGCTGGCGAGCCTTGGTGGGGCCGCCTCTGCAGATGAGGGGGAATGAAATCGTCTAGAGTCGGGAAGGTCAGAGGCGAGGCAGCAGAGGTGGTGGCTGGCGCCGTGTGGACGCAGCCCGGTGTGCCCTCGGCCTCACCTTCGTGCCCTCTGTCGGTAGTAACCAGGTAAAGAGGGACAACTATTACCTCAGGCTGGGCCGGGCTGGACGAGGTGGCGTCCTGCGGGGGAAATAATGGGGTTGTTACACCAAGGGTTGCAGCAGGCGGCGGGGAATCCCACACGCAGACGGGGTGCACGGGCATGCAGGGATCTGCCCTGAGAAGGACTGAATTGCTGCTCCGTGGAACAGTGGGTGCTGGCCAGTTGGCTTCCTGCTACCTCTGACCCAGAGGGAGCCTTTTCCAAGGTTACTTTCCATCCATCTATTTTTGAATCCTTTTAACACCTTATCAGAGAGAAGGAGGAAACAACAGAACAGGCAGGCCGGCTCTGATTAAACCGCTCTGGACAGAATGCAAGCTTGCAAGTAAATGCAGCTTTCTTTAGCATCTTCACACATACACACACTCCGTCATCTGGCCATCAAGGTTAGTCTGTGGGTTCCGCACTCCGACACACTTAGCATGTTTACAGAGAAGAGAGAGGGGTCTGTGCTGAGACATTTAGGAGAGGAAGTCAGAAGTAAAGCCACAACAACATTAACAACGGAAGGGAGGGGAGAAGGGAGGCAGGGGGAATGGAGAGTAGCCCAGAAAACAAACTTGAGCCACACGGGCCCGCTTTGGAAGAAACACACAGACATCCCTATTTCCTTGCCTTGGCTGGACTACACGGCTGCAGAAGGGAAGGCTCTCGGCTCCTCCGGTTTTCGGGATCAGAGGTACCTTGGGGGCCTAGCACCAGTGGGCGCACCGCATCCGGGAAGGAAGCCCGAGTCCCCAGGGAAGCAGGCACACCACCACCGGCATCTTTCCGGATGTCAAAGAGCAGTTTGGGAGGGTCAGGAGGAGGAGCAGGGGGTGCCTTTCCTGTGCCGGCCGTGCAGGAGTCCAGGCTGCGAGCTGGTGCCCGGGTGCTTGCAGCCTCAGGGGGAGTGCCTTGGGCTGGGTCACGTGCAACACCAGAGGATGTTTCCGATGCCGCCCAGCAAAGGTTATTGGATAAACAAGGGACATATAAGCTGCTGACCTTTTTTTGCCCAGCTGGCCCATGATGTGGGTTACAGCTCACAGTCTTGCTTTCAACTGTCCCAGTGGCTGCAGAGCAGTGCTGGGGTGCAGATGAAGCACAGGGCAACATGGAACCCAAAAGCAAGGGACCAGGGCACATTGTGACTTTGGGGGCGGCCGCCAGGGGAACAGAGATGGGCTGAGGCTGTGAGTGTTTCTGCTGGCCGCGGGTGCCGAGTGAGATGTAAGGCCTCAGCGTGCTCACACAGAGCGAGTCCTTGCAGGGACTGCCAGTGGAGGGGGCCTGCCATGCAAAGCACTCCCCAGCAGGCAGGGAGAGAACCTTGAGTGGCATTTTCAAGATGTGGCATCAAAACAGGAAAAACGGGAAAACAGGAAGAGGAGGGGACATGGAAAAAGGGTGGACTGTTAGAAACAGCACAGTCACATGATGGGAAATAAAACTTTCTTGGTGAGAGTCCCCAGGACGACCTTCCTTCTCTTCCATGCCGTTGTCCTCACCTGATCGTCAGCTGGAGGGCAGGCCCTGCTGCTCCTTGCTGCCGGGGGAGGCCGGGCCCAGCCCACAACACACCACACACTCAGTTCTGACGTCAGTCTTTAGCTGTTGGCAGTGTCACCACTGTTTATTTGACTGCCCTACTCTGGTAGGCCTAGGGAACCCCCTCCATCCCAGACTTCTCTCACTCAGACTTGGGCTTGGAGCAGGCATCTGACACTGTGATCAGGATGCCTCTGGGGACTCCTGCACCCCATTCTGGTGTGTCTGGGGTTGAACCCCAGCCCGGCTTCTAATTCCGGCTTCCTGCTGTGACACACCTTGAGAGGCAGCAGGTAGGGGCTCAGGTGGCTGGGTGCCTGCCACCCACATGGGAGACCACATCTGGATTCCTGGCATCACCTTGGGCCTGGCTCAGCTGGGCATCTGGGAAATGAACAGGAAGATCTCTCTCTTCCTCTCTCTGTCTCACTGCCTTTCAATTATTATTATTATTGATTCACCAGAACTCTTTGGAGGGCCTTTCACCTTTATCTGAGAGAAGAGAACGAAAGGCCCGTCCTTCCTTGTGTTCATGAAGACAGACAGCTTTTCTGAGTCACTGAGATCTGGCCCTGGGTCCCTTACTTGGAACAATCGACAGCTGCCTATGCAGAAAATGCCGAGGCCTGAATGCTAGGCGCTATCCAGCCAAAGGAGACAGGCCGATGCACTGGTTACTAAACACATGAAGTCTCCCAGCTTCACTGCACAAGCAAAGGGGATCAGGCAACAGCACACGTCACTGGCTGCAGTCCTGGCCATGCCTGGTTCCTCAAATTCCATCACATGCACTGAGAGTCAATCCAGGAGGTGAGTCATCAGCCGTGGAGTCATGGCTTAAGCTCAGAGCTCCAGCTGCAGGTCCAGAGCTAAAGAGCTATGAGATCACATCTCCTCCGTCTACCTTTGCCACGAGCAGGTCAAGGCGAGCAGAGGGTGAGAAACCAGGAGGATAATGCAGACGGAGCAATGCTCCCTTCTGTTCCCGAACTTTATTCCCAGGCCCAGAGGACAGCCACTCCTCCACAATGCACAGGAGACATCTAGCAAATGGGCTGGAGCCCCAAACTGTAGTGCTCCAGGGGTGTGGATCAAATTTGACTTTTTTTTTTAAGATGTATTTATTTTTATTGGACAGGCAGATGTACAAAGGAGGAGAGGCAGAGAGGAAGATCTTCTGTCCAATGCTTCACTCTCCAAATGGCCAAAACAGCTGGAGCTGAGCCAATCCGAAGCTAGGAGCCAGGAGCTTCTTCCAGGTCTCCCACGCGGGTGCAGGGTCCCAAGTCCTTGAGCCATCCTCTACTGCTTTCCCAGGCAACAAGCAGGGAGCTGGATGGGAAGTGGGGCTGCTGGGATTAGAACTGGTATCCATATGGGATCCTGGTGCGTTCAAGGCAAGGACTTTAACCACTATGCTATTGTGCTGGGCCCAAATACGTCTTTTTGAATCATGGTTTACATTTTGTAGTTTTTGAAGCATAGGTAGCAAGGAAAGATGAACAAGTGAGAAATAAAGCAAGCTTTCTGACCCTGGATTAGCATCTCATCCCAGAGGCAATGAGGAACCTTAGAATTCAGTTTTCAAATAACCTTAAAGGGGAAACAGCTGTGTGGGTCTCCTAGGCACTTCAGTGCCCTTCCCTTAAGCAGTGCATCCAGAGCCTCTCTCTGCAAATCAGTAAAGGTGAATTCACGTAGGGCCTGTGACCATGGACTTCAGGTTAGGGAGCATTTACATATAGACTAAATGACACTCCTTAGAAAAGCAATTGGCTTGGGGACAGCCAGGTAAGCCTACGATGGCTGCTAATGAGGTAAGGAGAGAGCAGTGTGACTTGGGCTCAGATTTGCTCTGACTTTGGGCTCGAAGGTCCCACATGTGATTCTTTCTTATCCAAAGAAGGAAATGGGTTTTGGTGAATTTTTAACTTAATTTGGCCGTGGCCATATATAGTACCAGGCTACACTATATCAGGCACGAGCCTTCCCAGGGCTCTGACCCTGCAGAGGACATCTCCCCAGAGTGTTGGCACAGCACTCAGGGCCAGAACTCCTCCAGCCTGGGGCTTCCTTTAGGCCTAAAGAAGGAAGGGGTGGGCACAGCCACCTTACATGGAAGGAACTATGTCCTGTTTTACAGTAAACATTGCAGGAATCACAAGGGCAGTGCGTATTCCTGTCCAGCTGGCTACTAATAAAAATCTCACTTATTCTCTTAGCAGGCGGGTCTGTAATACAAATGCAGCTTCCTGAAAAGTTTTGGTTATGCTTCTGGGTTACACAGCTCCAGGACCTCCCAATCCCTTACTTCCCCTGGGGACTCTCACGACGATGGTGATGTCAGAGGGGACAGCCTTGGCTCCGAACTACAGGGACAGGCTGGCTAGACAGGACCCCTATCTGGCCATGTGTTTCCCAGACACTGATTCCATCCCTAACAGGAGATATCAAGCCTCTGAAGGGTCTGGAAGCTTTCTTCAGCTGCAACCAAGCCAGGCAGGTCCCAGACCACTCTGGCCTTGCCAAGCCGGTACCTACTTACAGCTCTGGCAGTGGCTGCACAGACAAGAAACCATGATTGTGCTAGGAAGCAATTCCAAGATACAACACAAGGTCTAACAGGTCTAGAAAGTTGGATGGCTAAACTTACACTCAATGTGCAGGATAGTAGGTATTCTAGCAGCTTACCATTCTTTAAGAAAGCCTAGTAAAAAGGAGACAGAGTGACAGATAAGAAAGCATGTTAGGGCCCGGCGCGGTGGTGCAAGTGGTTAAGGTCCTCACCTTGCATGCCCGGGATCCCATGTGGGCGCCGGTTCTATCCCTGGCAGCCCCGCTTCCCTTCCAGCTCCCTGCCTGTGGCCCGGGAAGGCAGTCGAGGACGGCCCAAAGCTTTGCGACCCTGCACCCACGTGGGAGACACAGAAGAGGCTCCTGGCTTCGGATTGGCATAGCATCGGCCATTGCGCTCACTTGGGGAGTGAATCATTGGACGGAAGACCTTCCTCTCTGTCTCTCCTCTCTGTATATCTGCCTTTCCAACAAAAAAATAATAAAAATAAATCTTTAAAAAAAAAAAAAGAAAGCATGTTATTCATAGGAGCTAATGGGGGATGCTGACCTTCAAACTGCTCAGGAAGGGGCTGTGAGCTCATGATCTGAGCATCACACAGATGCTCAATGGTGAGTTATGCAAACGAATTTCACAACAGATTTCTTTACTTCATCTGCTTTTAAAATGATCTCTGAGAGGAGGTGTTTAAAAGAATTCAAAGGGTGTGTGTGTGCGCGTGCATGCGCAAGTGCCGTGTCACTTAGTGGCATGTGAAGCTACAGCTTACAATGCTGGCATCCTATATCAAAAGTGATTTGAATACCAGCTGCTCCACTTTCAATTCAGCTTCCTGGTATTATGCCTTGGAAAGCAATGAAACAGCCTAAGTGCTTGGCCCCTGGACCCACATGGAAGGTCCAGAGGGAGATCCTGGCTCCTGGCTCCTGGCTCCTGGCTTCAGGCTGGCCCAGCCCTATATGGCCCATGTGGGCATTTGTGTAATGAACCAGCAGATGGAAGATCTCTCTCTCTCTCTCCTTTCTCTGTCACTCTACCTTTCAGAGAAGTGCATAAGTTATTTTTTAAAAGGAAGTCAAAGGAGTTATGCTATCTGTTGGATTAACAGAGGAAAACAAAGTGCCTCGATACTTGGTCTGAGTTCATCAACACTGTTTTCTAGAATGGATAGAGCTGACTGTATCTCTTCCTGAAATGGGTGAAGTGTGTCCACTACAGAGGAAGGCTTTAGGGATGGGCAAACAGACAAATGACCTCCCTGTGCCTTTGTCCAGTGGAGACCACAGCTGCTGGTTCTGACCAGTTGGCCTGAATACTCGTGGCTATGCTCAGAGAGGCAAGTCACAGCAGGTGACCGGCAGGGCTTCCCTGCGCTTCCTGGCACATAACAAGCAGCTCTCAGCCTGGGAAATGGGGTCTGCACAGGAAGAAGACATCCCAGCTGACCCAGTTTCCTCTCGTGGGCCTGTGCAAACCAGGAAGAACCGGTGGCGTTTCCAGGCTCCTCCTGAGTTCTGGAAGTGCCTTCACACAAGGCAGGCATGGGGAGGTGCCCACCCAAGGAACATGTTCTGAGCAGCCCAGCTCTAGGACTGCTGCACTCCATGGGTGTAGTTCATCTGTGTAGAAGCATTCATGAGTGACCTGCATTAAAATAGGATCTGTCCTTTCACCAGAACAGCAAAGTGGCAAGGGAGGGAGAGAAGGAAAGTCAGGCAAACAGCTAGGACAGTGACAGCAAAGATGCCTGCTCCAAGCTGTATAGCTTCATGGATTTCCTCCTGCAGCATGGAGCTGAGCTAGTTGAGTTCTGTGGCACTCCCATGTCCACCCCTTCTGCCTGCTCCTGGGCTGCTGGGTTTTGTGCGCAGGTGTCATCACCTGGCCTTCGTTGGCAAGGATGCGGTCACTGCACACTGGCAATCCAGCGCCACAAAATGAATGCACCACACACAAGATGCACTTGTCAATCTTACATCCCACAGAGTTGCCAAGCTTTTAGTTCTTTCCTACTTAGGGCTACATGATTTTTCTCCTACAGACCATTTCCCATGCACCCATCAAAACTAGAAATACCAGGCTAGCTTGCAGCACCCCAGAACAGACCAGACTCATCCTTTGTCTCTGCTGCCCATGATCTCAACTTTCCCCAAAATTCTCATCCTGGTGGAGAGGCTCCAAATGCTTGAAAACCATTTCACCATCCAGCTGGGCAAGCAGGAAGTCACAAGTCTAAGCTACAAGACACAGGACCAGGTCGCACTCTTGAGCTTCTCCCCTCTACCCTCTAACACCTGCCCCTGGGCACGTGCCTACCTGGGGCTTGTCAGAAGAAAGGTTGGGGTGCACGCTTCTGAAGCCCTTGGCAGCGAGTGAAGAAGGCTGGGCGTTCCCATTGGCATCAGCGCTGGAAGACAGCCTGCACTCATCTGCAAGGTGGGAAAAGCGAAATAAAAACCTTTCACTCTATAGGAAGGCTACGGGACTCTCTCAAACCAGGGGTCCCCCGCGGAAGGCAGGCACAGGAAGAAGGCAAGCAGAACATACCTCCTGAAGGAATTTCCGGCTCCACGCCTACATGTAGTGCAGGAAGGAAGAAAATGAGAAGAAAAGGGGGAAGGGGAGACAGGAACAGTCACACTGGCAGAGATCAAGCATGAAGTGCACAGAAGGACGGAGACCCAGCAACCCGCTGTCCGACACAAAATGCCTTCGGTCACACTGGCCTGATTACCATAGGAACCCACTTGAAACCATGATGTGCTCACAGGCACTGACCTTTGCAAACACAAGGCCCACATTCACAGTCATGAAGAAACAATTGTTCCTTGACATTCTTATTTTACAGACAAAACGGCACAGAACTCTCCGCTGTCCAGTCCCAACTCACTGACTCTCAGGCCCCTCCCTCAAGCCCACTGTGCCCTCACAATGGCTGCTGCTCATTAGCAGGCTGGGCTAATTCACAGACTGCGAGAGAGGCAGAAGTGGGCAGGCGCTTCGTCCAGGAGTAGCGGTGCTGGACTAGAGAGAGAACATGACCTCAACCCAGAGGTATCTGCTGCGATAAGGATTTGTCTCCTCCTGGCCTGCTTTTCTGCTTTCCACAGAGCCCAACAGACACTTCAAAATCTAATCACCCAGTGTTCAGCACCCTCCAAGGAGCCCCGGCCCCTTCCAGCTTCCCAGCCATCATCTAGCACCTTGCAGAGTCCCCAGCTCTCATTTGAATCACTCAGCATGATGAAGAAATAGAGCACAGCTGGGAATACAGCTAGATCTCAATTCAAATCTTGGCTCCACAGTGTCTGTGACAAAGGGCAGGTCAAAAAACCTCGATTTGCCCATCTGAGAAATGGGGATAATCAAGTAGCAGGATAAACATGCCTGCCGCCTGAATGCCATTTTAAGAATTACGCAGCGCATGTATGCGCAACACTGAGATTCTGAGCAATCATTTCAATCCCACTTTTGCCAAGGCACTCTGACACCTTAAATCCACGCATGTACTAATTATCAACATGTCCTCAGCAAGGGGCTGCTCACCTTGCCTACCTCTGAGACCTATGCTGAGTTGATTCTATGCAGGTGACAGTGGCAGACAAATGTGGCATGGAAGGTGAGGAAGTGACTATCCTCCCAGATTTCTAGGTGTCACTAGGGGCTCCACTTTGGCACTGTGCTGCCTGGTTGGGGCCTTGATTCTCTCTCCTGTTGCCATGCTACAGCTATGACCTAGGTGCCTGTGCAAGGCAGACTGGATCCCGTGAGTCACAGGATGAAGTGGAAATGTTTGGCATCAAGTCCGTGCTTTAGAACACAGATCAAGAGCATGGGGGCAATTCCCCAGCGTCATGAGGCACACTGATTGCCCTCACCCACTTTATAAATAAGATATCCTTAGCAAACAACCCATTTTATCTTCTCCATCACAACTTGTTAAGCTGTTACCTTTACCTGTTGCCCCCAGAAAAGTGCTTCTTTTGGGGTCCCTTTCTTCCTATGTCATCTCACCATCCTGCCCGTTACCTTGTCTTCAGAACCTGCAAGGCTGGCAGCAGCCAGAGACATCCGTGCCTGAGTGCAACAGCTTGGACTTTTACATCTATAATCATCAATTATTAACTCCTGATTGAAGAGGCTGTCAAAATGCTACTTTCAATCAATGATACCTTAGAGCTTTAGCAGGGGAGGAGAGTGCCCGGGGAAAGTTGGCTGCCACATGGCCTTGGCATCTGCAGAGATGCCGAGAAGCGCTGGGGATTTTGTTTCATCTTTTCCTGCATTTGTTGCTTACACACAACCTTCCCCGGCCCACTGCCAGAGGCTCCAGGCGTTTTCTTGCATCTTGTTCTGGGCCATGCCCGTTTGCTGCTCAGCTCTGCCTGGGCTCTCTGGGTGATCCGAGTCAGCCCAGCGTGTTCTCGTAGAGTATTTGAGAGGAGGATCATGGGCATTCAGGGTAGGTCTGAGGGCGTTCCAGGTAGTATTTGTTTTTGTTTTCATTCATGCTGTGCAGTTGAGAATTTTACCTTACCCCCAAGGGAGGTATGGTTTGGTGCTCAGTCTGAGAACTGCCAAGCTCTAGGGATGCCTAATAGCAGCATCATGTTTACCTAGGGGCTTTGAGCCATACTCTGATGTGATTTGGGGTGGGGACTATGAGCCATCAGCAGCTCTACCTCCCAGTGGACCGCACACACAGGCTCAGTGTGTAGGCTTGAGGCCCAGGCCTCTGCCGCACATCCCCAACAAAGACTGTGGCAACCGAGGCTCAAGCAAGCTTTGCAGCTGGCAATGCACTGAGCACCTGGCCAGACGTGGATGCTGAGAAGTAACGCATCCTCATTCCACGGCGTGCACACAACGGAAGCTTGGCACCTGGCATCTTCCCAGACTCCTCTACGCACTTCTCCTCCTGGCTTATTTTAATGTTTCCTTCTTTTCTCATAAACAATAGCCATGAGAATAAGAACTTTCAATGAATTATGGGAGTCCTTTTGACTTCTAGGAGCACCTGAACCTGGAGCTGGTATCCCAAGTCAGGGTGTTCCCTTATGTGAGCCCTTCTTTCCCCCCTCTCAGACAGCCCTAATTCTCACTCAGGCAGGCATGAGGAAGGATTCTGATTTCCTGGGCATGACAGTGCCTTTATTGCTCCAATGTCCATTTTCCCATGATACCTTGTTGGTACTGCAATTTCTGGGGAACAAAAACAAGAGTCAAACCAAAGGACAAGAGCTGACTACAGATCCAAGAACCTTTATGGTCAAAGCCAACTTTGCAGTCAAGAATCAGGCAATAATGGCTGGGGCCAAACAGCACAGACTGAATGAGATGCCAAGGCTGACCGGGACCTCAGTGTCTGAGTCAGAACACAGGAAGCAATGTATCAAGCCCAGGGTCTTCACCCAACACTGGACAGGAAGCCTGGCCTCGTACCCACCACCAACTCAGCCTCCCTGCGTCCCCTGACCATAAACGTGGGTAGAGTTGCTCTGAACCAGCGTGGCCAGCGCCCAGACCTGGCCAGGCTATGTGCTCAGAAGCAGTGATGGGAGTCGGAGCAGTACTGCTTCTGGAGTTGGAGCAGTACTGTGCTCACTGCTGTTCCCCTCAGACGGTTCTGATCCAGGGTCCACATTCAGCAATGAGGTGGCTGGCCAGGGTGAGGGATCAGCTCACATCACGGACACAGAACCTAGCAGGGCTAAGCCAGAGAGTGGGCTGGGACTCCAGAACTACAGCAGTGCTCCCAGGATGCCAAGCTGGAGTGAGAGGTGGAAGTGGGGGGGGAGTGATCTCTGACCTAATGGTGTCAGAAAGTCAGGTAAGGACGGATGCTGTCATCCGTGTAAACAATGAGCAGCCTGGGACCCAAGGGGTTGGAGGTGGAGGTGCAAGCAGGGAGCAAGGGGGAGGGGAGGCAGAGGAAGCAGCTGGGGGAAAGACACAGGCCCTGGGACTGAGGGAGGGAGGGAGCCACCACTTGACATTATTTTGGCTTCCAGTCCAGACTGGGCACAACTGTCTGCAAACACTGCACAAATCTATGTCCACGAGGCCAGTGAAGGCCCAGGAGTTCCCAAGCCCGACTAGAGTGAGGCCGAGTCCTCACCCTAATGCCTTTCATATAAACTGAGAGAAAGATCTTCCATCTGCTGGTTTGCTCCCCAAGTGGCCACAATGGCCATAACTGAGACGATCTGATGCCAGGAGCCTGGAGCTTTTTCCAGGTCTCCCATGAGGGTGCAGGGTCCCAAGGCTTTGGGTCATTCCTCGACTGCTTTCCCAGGCCACAAGCAGGGAGCTGGATGGGAAGCAGGGCAGCCAGGATATGAGTTGGCACCTATATGGGATCCCAGTGCATGCAAGGCAAGGACTTTAACCACTAAGCTATCACGCTAGGCCTGACCCTCAATCTTAAGTCCTCCAATTTCCCCTCTAGCGCCCACGGTGAACTTCTCAATATCAGCCTTTATGCTGGGAGCTTTGTAGGAATTCAGGCCCTGATCAAAATAACATCCAAGCTACACTTAGTCCAACAGATTGAGTCTTTCCAAAGGAAATATTCTGGCTTTTATCAACTGAAAAATCAAAGGTCACAAGCACTTGGACCAGAGACCCAACCACCAGCTGACCATGCACTGCTCATCCCTGACTTTGAACTCTTAAGAGTCTCTGCCTTTATTTCCTCCAAGCGCCGGGGAAGTGAGTGTTAGCTCCTTGGTCCCTGCTCTGTGCCTTGCAATGAATACTTCTGTGTCGGTGGTAGGTTTGCTGTGCAATGAGTGAGCATAGTACAGTTTTGGGGTTCATTAGCAACTCCTCCAACCAGTGTCGGGGGTGTTCTACAGCCACAGGACAGGATGGTAGTGTGGGGGCAACAAGCTGTCTTCCAGGGTTTCCTAAGGAGGGAGTAAACCACAGTGAGAGGAAGGCACAGTCAACAGGGTGCCAGCAGATCAGAGCCCACTCCTGGATGCCCCCTCTCTGCAATCCTATTGCAGCCTGCCCTGTATTCTTGATGGGAGCTGTTGTAATTGTTTCCTCTACTCAAACCCACCTTGCTCCTGTCTCCCCAAACAACCCTAGTGAGTGATTCTGACTTTGTTCCCAGTCACTGGGATTCCAACACACCAGGTTAATTTCCAACTTCCCGAGTTCATGGAACCAGAAGTACTTCGTGTGGGTTTCAAAGACACCATGACTTAATTCACAGTCAAAAGCCAATACAGTGGACCACTAGCCCATGCCAAACTCTCGCATTGCTACAAATTGTCTTTTGCCTTCATCAATCACTCACAATTATTCTCTCTTCTACCTCCACATTTCTCACAATTCCCAGTGACTTTCTTGGCACCTAGAACACAGGTATGCTGAATAAACACATGCTCATGTTAATTGGATGATCTCAACTTGCCAAGAATAATAAGACTGATTTATAGTAAGGTATGAATGACAGATAACTACCCCTTAATTCTTCAGAGTATTTGCATTTTAAATAATGGTGTGATGCTTGAAGAAGGACATTTTGCATCATATGAACACCTATCAAATAAATCCGATTAAAAAAAAAGAAAAGATTTAGGGTCTGGCACAATAGCCTAGTGGTTAAAATCCTCGCCTTGCATGCACTGGGATCCCATATGGGCACCGGTTCGTGTTCCACCTGTTCCGCTTCCCATCCAGCTCCCTGCCTGTGGCCTAGGAAAGCAGTCGAGGATGGCCGAAAGCCTTGGGACCCTGCACCCGCGTGGGAGATCCAGAAAAGGCTCCAGACTCTTGGCTTTGGATCAGCTCTGACCGTTGTTGCAGCCACTTGGGGAGTAAACCAGAAGATGGAAAATCTTTGTCTCTCCTTCTCTCTGTAAATCTACCTTTCCAATATAAATAAATAAATCTTAAGGGGGGGAAAAAAGATTCAGCTTCCTTAGAGTTCCACAAATCCACTCACAGCACTACCACTGTGTTGTACCCCAGCCACAGTGGTTGTAATGCCATACTGCAATCACTAGAGGGCGTTCAATGCTACGTCTCCACCACTTTCTTTGATCAATACCAGAGAAAGGCATCACTGGGTTACTACAGGGGATGCAAAGTGTGGCCTTTCTCTTTGGATCTCTCCTTGGGAGTCTGTCATCCCAACTGTCCTCCTGCCTGGGAGCTGGATCTTCTCAGGCTTGAGAAGCTCAGCCTTGGAAAGAATAAATTTTGTGTTCTCTTTTTGCCCTCAATTTTCCTGGAGGAGAAGGGTAGCAAACGGTGAAGGCTCAGGACGAGATGAATAAGAAGTTGCTCTGACAAGTCTAGTGCAGTGGGCCATTCAGGCCTTCCTGGAGGTCAGTGACAAGCAAAGCCTCCACCACAGCAACGTTCCCAGGAGGGAGCTTGCACTCCAGCCCAGGCCTCGTCCCCAGGCATGCACCTGCCTCACTATTTGCTCCAGGCAGCTAGAACAGGAAGAAGGTGTCACCAGGATGCCAGACCTGGACCACCTGCAGCCGGTACACTTCCTCCTAGACAACCCAGCACTCAGCTGTACCAACAGTTTGCCTGACCTACTCTTTCTTCTCCGGCCCTCAGTCCCAGTTTCCCCCCTTCATTTCCTTCACCCCCTGCAGCAGGAGCCCTCAAATGTGGTCCCTGGGCCAGCAGCACCGCTCACTCCCTGAGCATCCACACGAAGGTGGACTACTCGGCACAGGCTCTTGTCACAGGGTTATCGGCCCAGCCAAAGCTGAAAGGAAGAGGTGACAACTGCCTTTGAGTCTCAGGCTCCAACCACCACCCATGACGAGAGTGACTAGATGCTGACGGTCCCAGGAGGCAGCAAATGAATGCATGTCTCCTGGAGAAGCAGCGAGTGGATTCCCCTCCCTTCCTCTGACGCCCCAGGCTCAGGAGTAGGCACACCTGGCTGGCTTTCATGTCGTGGGGTTTCTTGAGGGCTCACGGGACCGCTGCTCAGGACTTCCCTGCTGGAAGAAGAGGCCCGGAGAGTGACGGCTCCCTTCCCGGTGCAGATTTTTGTAGGATCCATTTCTGAAAAGACAAAACCCAAAAGACAAGGCTGAATCCAAAACACCCCCAAGGACTGAACAACTAAGTCGGTACTGACCAGGCAATGAGATGAACCTGGTCACAGCCCCACCGTCTTCGGATGCTGTAGCTAGGGTAAATTAATTGGCAGGCGGTGGAGGAGGACAAAGCCACGCTTACAGAGGTTGACCAGGCACCATGGGGTTAGGGGGAAACAGAGGCAGTGGCGAGTTCTGGGGAGATGTAGGAGGCACAAAATGAGCTACAAGCATCTCAGCAGGAAGGCAGGGTTCTTTCTTCTAGTACACGAAATTTAGATTGGTAAGCAGACTGCTGGCCAATTAGTTAAGCATGGTTTAAGAAGGGGCTTCCTCCAGAAGATTCCTCAAGCTTCCAGATCATCCTTCTCATTGGAGAGCAAGTTGGCCACACAGGGAGTCGGGCAGATGCTCCCCTACAGCGAACAGTCTCCTTGTGTGTGTGTGGCAGGTCAGGTCCCCCGAGAGACGAAGACGCAGATGGCAACAGCGCTGGGGGTCTGTGGGTGTGGGCCTCATCTTGCAAGTGCAATGAAGGAAATTCACAGCAACAAAAACCACGAGAACAGTTCAGCCTCAATGAACGGTCTCCCTCGTATAGCAGCCGAGTCATCATGCAGTCCCAATCCTCCTAGCAGAGCCTCAGCATCAGGGGAGAATTAGAGAGTCTGGCAGACTCTTCCTCCTAGGGCAACATGGTTGAGGTGCCCCATGGATGCCTGGCACCCCAGGGCCAAACCCTGCATGACCCTTTGTTTTTCCCCCACGGACACGCGACCGTGATGTCATTTACGGGTTAGCCACACTTAGAAATGACCGGTAACTACTAAAATTAGAACAGCATGTCTGTATACTGCATTGCAAGTTATTTAAAACATATGGACTGCTTATTACTAGACTCTTCCATTTTATACTTTTCAGATCATGATTGAGCACAGATGACTGAAAGTAAAACTGACTCTGGAGGGTCTATTCTAAGCTTTGCAAGAGCTAGAGGACATGGAGCTGTGGCACAGCATGTGAAGTCACTACCTGCAATGCCGGCATCCCGTACATGTAATGGTTCAAGCCCTGGCTGTCCAACTTCCCATTCAACTTCCTGCTAACATGCCTGGAAAAGCAGCGACAGATGACCCGGGAGCTTGGGTCCCTGCCACGCAGGTAGGAGACCAGGATGACGTTTTAGACACCTTATTTCAGTCCAATCTAGCCACTTGCTCTGTGTAACTCTGCCTTTAAAGTTAAAAACGAAGATCTAGAAGCCCATCCTCCAGGAAACCCAGCAATGGGGACTCGGTGCAGACCATGTAGTTCAAGCAGGCACAAACGCTGAAGCTTTCTATATGTGCAGCTGAGCTAAGCAGAACTTCAATTTTTTTTTTCTAAATGTCCATAACGTGGATCCTTAACCAGAAATGGTCACAAATTCGATTACAGGTTAAAGTTCAGGGCGCCCATCTGGGCAGAACGTGGGCTCCAACATCCAACTGACTCCTGGGTTGGGGGAGAGAGAAGCGGTCTCGTTCCTCCTGGCTTTCCACCCTGGGAGCTCCATTTCCATCCCTCATTAATGTGGCAGGAGAGACCAGATCTGCTCTGTCGGTGCCTCTTCTGCCAAGAGCAAAGCCTGCAACCCAAAGCCTGTGGCAGAGCACACAGAGGTCTGGTTGCACCTGACCCCTCAAAGGCTCCCATCCTCTCAAAGGCTCAGTGACCAACATTGCAAAACTACAGGGCAAAACCGCCCCCCAAGGCTGAGGGCAGCCTGGCCAATGCAGCCCAGCCCTCATGTGTCCGTTTCCGCACAGAAGGCTGCTGACATCCGAAACACAATCCTTACCCTTGCTGCAGAGCAGGGGCAGGAGGCGACTGCAGGTGAGGCAGCAAGAGGGAGGGCCTGTGTGGGGCAGCCCAGGCAGCGACCTCCCACTCAGAGGTCCCAGGAGGCTGGGGAGTTCTCAGGGAGACTGGAACAGACCCAAATACTGGGAGTTGCCAATCTTGAAGGGGAGCCCAGGAATTCCAGGCACCCCAGAGTGAAGGGAATCTGGAATAACCCTTCTCCTGGAGGAGAGATGGACAAGGTGCCCTGTCCTTAGTTCTTTCCCATGCTCACCGGCTCCCAGAAAAACAAACACACACATTCACACATGCACGCACAAACACACTCCACACACATACGCACACTCACACAGTCATGCATGGAGAGAAGGAACCGAGCAAGTAAAGGGTATGCCTCCTAAACATGCAAGGCGCGTAAGCCTCCAAGTTATTAGTTAGAAGGAGGGGCGGGGGAAGACCATGCGTGAGCTGCCGTGAACCAAGAGCAGCCCCCACCCACCGGGCAAGATACCTGCAGGCAGTGCCAGGCCTGAAGCACTTTTCACTGTCTTCACGGGAATGATTTTAACAGCGGAGACAGAGCGTGCACGGAAAGGGTCAGCAGTTGCTGGAAACACAAAAGGGTAAATGGTGCCTCCAGAAAGAACATTTGGGAAACACTCAGGCAGTTGAGGAACTGGGCAGGAACAATGGGAGGAAGTTGCCTCCATGAAAAGAACAATGCAAAGAGCAGTAGAGGCAGTAATTAAAAATAACCCGCTTTCCCTCTTCAGGCTTCGGGGCCAAGACAGCAGAACTCTCCCTCCAACCAGCCCCCAACCCCACCCGATCAATGCTCTTCGCTGCCTCCTGCCACACTAGGCATTTGCCAAGGCTCAGGACAAAGAGATCTTCAGTGACGCAGATGGTCCGGACAGTGGAGGATGGGGACAGCAGTCAGGGCCCAAGGAAGCCCCTTGGGAGAAAGCTGGAGCATCTGCACCTGGGCAGGACTCCGAGGAGGATGGCTAAGGCCCAAGGGCTCTACACAAGCAGAAAAGCAAAGGAACCAGTTTATGGGTTACTAGGTCCCTACACCTTCACAGCTGCAGCCCCAAACCACAGCTCCTAGGACCTTGTGCCCACTTTGACAGTCACAGGCCTCTGGCCCATGCAAATCAGAACTCCATCTGCTGTGTGGCAGATGGCCTTGTTTCAGCCTACCCTGTACTGGCCTGGAGGTGCCAAGTGTCCAAGCGTATGCTTGAGAGTTTGGGCAGCCCCCAGGTGCCAAGCCCAGGATGATGACCCACACTGAGCCAAGGCGGAGCAGGGAGACCACCTAGAATGTGGGGGAGGCTCCAGACCCCTGGCCTGAGGGCCCGTGCTTACCTATCCGCAGGAGCCCCAGGCTCCCTGCCTGCTCAGATCCTACAATCTGCATAGTGCACACATTGCTCCTTGATGTCAGCAAGGATAGAAAGACAGGAGCCATTGTGCTGCAGTACCAAGCTCATTGTAGGGTGCAACAACACCCAGAGGCCATGCAGTCCCCAGATTCCTGGAACACTAGGTGAGGACAAAAGGACAAGAACTGGCACTGTTGAATTGGTATTGTGTTGGGGAGCCTGCCAAGTGCATGGAAGCAAGTACCTTGGCAATAGACACTTGAGCCCTGCGCTTTACCACTTCACAAGGCATATGGCGGTCACATGGCGTATGGCTGTCACCTACTCAACGACGACACCGCATGTGTTAAGACACGATCACGCTTGCCCAGCAATGTGACTTAGCAACTGATCATCAGAAGATTGGCTGCTGGGTTTTAACCATGCTCCCCATTGGTTGCTTGAACATTTTCCCTATCATATAGGCACTGCTCCTGGTATTCTCTAAGTACATCCCAGCCAAGACCATCCAGGACTCTGGGAACACTGCAGGCTCAGCTCCATAGCACAAGTAGAGCAAGGTGACCCTGCTGGGAGGCAGAAAGGACGGGATGGTGGCAGGACACCTGCTGTGGCTTCCTAACCAGCTGCCCCCTGGGAGTCTCCACTGTGTGCTGGTTCAATGGGAACACCTGATTGAATCTGACAAAAATGCAGAGGCCATGGTCTGCAAAGCATTTGGGAGAGGTTTGACTTAAACACCTTGCACCTGGGTTTTCCAATCTTCCTCTTAGAAAACGTTGCTCTGAATGAGCATTTCTAGGCTTGCCAGAACCCAGGAGCTGCAGTGGGAATAACTGCAGCAGATGGTGTCATTGGTGAGAGTGCCACTCCCCACAAGGGTCACCAGAGATCTTCCCTGATGCCTGCTTGCAAGGAGCAGACCCTGGACTTGAGGCCTGCTGGAACTGGAAGCAGGGGCTACATGGAGGATGTCACCCCAACCTCCAGGGCATGCAGCTAGTGCTATGGCACAGTGGGTAAAGCTGTTGCTTGCAATATTGGCACTAGGTTGAGTCCTGCCTGCTCCACTTCCTCTCCAGATCTCTGGTAAAGGCCTGGGAAAGCAGTGGAAGTAGGCCCAAATATGTGGTACCCTGCACCCATGTGGGAGACGCAAAGAAGCTCCTGGCTTCTGCCTGGCCAGTCCCGGCTGTTAAAGCCATCTGCAGGCTGAACCAACAGATGGAAAACTTCTATCCTTGGAGGTCATCTTCTCATTTCATATCTATATCTTCTATCTTAAATGTTCTTTAAAAAACTGGAGATACAAAGGGCTGTCCCTGAAACCAAGGCCAGACATCATTTCTAACAACCGGGCCCTGCTCAGAGCCAGGACAGTGGAAAGCCCACCATCCTGGAGGAGAAGCATCCGGGGAAAACAGCAGCCTCTGACACATGAGATGCAAGAGCGTACCCGAGGTCTCCAACCGTATGCTCATGGCCCTCCTGCCCAAGGTGCTCTGTGCCATCCAAAGCCACTCCCAGGACATGGGCCCCTGCTCCTCAGGAGCCTTACCTTTGTCTCGCCCATCACTGCCAGGTGCCAGGCCGTTCAGCATGGTCTTGGAGGCAGCCATGTCACACTCTGAAAGACAGGAAAGCCAAAGGCATGGGGTTAATGACAGCTTTCCCCATAGTTTCTGAGTGCCAGGTTGGAGGGCCCTGTCCTCACAAGCCCTGGAGTGGCTCCATCTGTTGGCTCTGTCGGGTCTCAGACAGGTCCCCTGTGGCACTACAGGAGAGTCTGCAGTTGGCAGTGTGGCTTCAACTTGTTCGAGAACAGGAAGTTGTACCGTGCCTGTAGGAATGGCTCCCTTTCTGACATTTAAAAAAAATCTGCTTAACTCTCTCAAAATGGCATTTCCTACCTGCCCAAGGCCAACTCATCCATTCAAACTCCAGCTCAGATACATCTCTGCACATCCAAGCAGTATGTCAACCAGGTCAGAAACTCAGGCTCCTGGAACCCTCCCCTCCCCGAAGGCACATCCCACTCTGTGAGAGTCACACTGCCCTTCCTTGAAGCATCCTTGGACACAGCCCAGCTCACACCTCAGGCCAGCCCTGGATCACTGCCCCAGAAATGATGAGTGTCCTCCTGCCTCCTTTCTGTCCCTTCCAGGTCCCAGCACCAGTCTACATTCTAATAGCACTTTCTGAACCCCAGCCCAATCTCTGGCCTGACAGGCAGGGCTCCAGGGGGGCAGGCAGAAGGACATGACACTTTTAAACAGAAAAAAAAATGGGTTTTCCATACATTCAGTTTCGCCTATGTGTTGAAAATTAAAATCTGGGATTTATTTTGGAAATTCAGTCATGCAGAGTATTATGTACATGGGGGAAAATATATTAGAACTTGTGCAAAGGACTTTTTTTTTTTTAAGTAAGCAGGGTGACCTATACCTTGGTATGCCTTGTTATGTTTAAATTTAACAAAATGACATTTCTGATGTCATTAAAAGGCCAAAAGTTGGGATGAGAATTTGGCTCAGCAGTAAAGACACCCGTTGGATACCTGCATCCCACACCGTATCACCAGGCCTGGGCCCAAGTCTCAACTCTACTCCCAGTTCCAGCTTTCTGCAAATGTGCACCCTGGGAGGCAGCAAACAATGGCTCAAGCTCTTGAGTTCCTCCCACTCACGTGGCAGACCTATGTGAAGGCACATCTCCCAGCTTAGCTTGGCCCAGCCCCTGCCATGGTGAGCATTTACGGAGTGAACCAGTGATCAATCTCCTAATAGCTCTCTCTTTCTCTCTTTTTCAAATAAATAAATAAGCAACCAACCAACCAAGTAACAAGTAAGTCCCCTTGGCCACCAGCTACCTAGCAGGCAAAGCCTAAGCAACCAACTCCAGATTCAAGGCTCTTTCACCACCAGTCCCAACCTGTCTCCTGGCCCTCCCTGCTCACCATCTTCCTCCCCAACCAGGATAAACATTTTGGTCTCCTGAATTGTTACAGACACAAGTACGTCCAAAAGTATACAGGAATGGGATTAAAAGACACATTCATCTTGGTACAAAAAATTTTGAGGGAACAAACTCATAAAACAACAAACAAACAAAAAACTCAAGCACAGATTCCAAAATTTGTTACACCAAAATAAAACATACCTTTTAATGCCATTTCCCATGCATTTTGGAAATACCTTCATATTCTATTTCTACATATACTGGGCCTAGAGCCCAGTAACTCGGCTTCCTGAGATAAAGTTACTGGGCCAGGGCTCTTTCTCATGTTCTCACAGGGCTGGCTGTCTTCTGGAAACAACACCTGCACCTGACCCCAGCAGGGCGCTGCTCCTCCCCACCCGGTGGCCTGGACCTTCCTGGCCCTGCCAGCTGCATCCTCTTCATGACTAGCCTCCACTGACAGACAAAGGCCCCTCCTTCCAGGTGTCAAGTCTCCCTTGAGTCCTCATTTCTGGGATGGGTGGAAGGAACGTGCTGGCAGGAAAGCCAGAATTCCAAGTAAAAGAAACATCCCAAGTTCCCGGCCCCTGGTTCCTTCTCTTTCCAGCCCTTCCTTGCCCACCTGCCCTGGTACCTCCTGGTCAGCTTCTTTCTGGACTGCTAGGCCCCTTCATCCAGGCTTCCCCAAGTCCAAGCACAGCAGCTCCCGAGGCACCACCAGGTCCAGTCCCAAATTTTCACTTTTCCCTTTTCTCTACATAACAATTACACTAAAAGGCATTTGAAAAGTGTTCAAAAATCAATCACGTCATCAGCTCAAACTCAAACCTCTGCAGCCATGTACTGGAGTCCAACAGCTCTGTCTGTCTGCAAACCACGACACTCCAGTGGGCTGACCCCATGAGTCCCTTGGGGCTCAGTGTTCCCATCTGCAGAGGTGGGCAATCCACGCCTACCTTTGGAGGGTTGCCCCGACAACGCAATGAGCTCATGCAGATAAAGCGCTTCCCTTGGTGGACTGACAGTCCTGCCCACACTTGCAATAAAAAAGAACATGGCATTTTCATGCTGCACTTTCCAAAGAGTGAAACAAGCACTAACTTCCTAATATCATTTTAATAGTGGAAACAATATTATATCAAGTAAATACACGTAATTTATTCATTATTCACCTTTACGGAGATGTTACATTTTTGTTTTTAATAAAGATTCTATTCAGTTTCATAGATGTTAAGCAATGAAGGTTAATTTTATATGATTTTTAAAAAAATATTTAAGAGGACAAAGAGAGAGCTCCCATCCATGGATTTACTCCCCAAATGCCTACAAAGGCTGCAGCTAGAAGCCGGGAGCAGGTACCCAACCCAGTCCCCTGCGTGGGCGCTGGAACCAAATGAGCCATCGCTGCTGCCTCCAGGGTCCACACCAGCAGGAAGCTGGGAACTGACCCCATGCTCTGAGGGCGAAGAAGTCGGTGTCCTCACAGCTAGGCCAAATGCCTGCCCTGGGAGTGAAATTCTGTATCCCCCTTATTAAGACAGAAGACATCACACCTGGAATTATGGGGTCAAGGGTCCAGAATTTTTGGAATCACTGTAGGCATCGAGTTCCCAACGGAGAGAAAGAACTGGAGAGAGCTCTCAGGCTAATCCATGCCCTCCTCCTCCTTCCAGCTTCTCCTGACCTTGTATTAACCCACAGGAGCAGCAGTGCCAGTTTACACTGACTAACCCTGATGTGGGCAAAGCAAGACCTTTGCTTTGGGGTCAGGGTTCAGAGCTTTAAAAGATTTGCTTCACAACATCTCAATGGAACACTGCTTTTAAAAAACTTGTCTTAAATGGAGGAGAAGGGTCCACCACAGGCCCAAGGCCACAGTCAAAAACAAGAGTGAGGTCTGTATATGCAGGGAGCTCTATCCTACCAGCCTTCCAGGTCCTAAATGCACACAGTTCTTCACAGCTCAGGAGGCAACTAAAAGAGCACTGCATATAATATCAACAAGACTTGCTTTTAAACAATATACACAACAAGTGCAGGCTCAGGATTCAAATGGTCAGCCCTCAGTCCCACCCTGATGTACCTGCAGTTCTCATGGGACTCCAGGGGATGCCCCACAGCTAAAGTAGATCTTCACATCTGGGTGCAAACTTGTCTGCCTCTAGTTCTGGCTGGAATGCTGACCGCACTCAACTGCGCAATGAACAGGGAGCTGCTCCCTTCTCTGCTCGGCCCACACTCTCCACCCTAGTCCCAAAGTCAATATACTCAAAACTGGTCATTTGCTCAGATCTGAATTCTTAAATGCCAAACACATGGCAGAGGGCTGGGCAAATCACTCTGCCAGCCTGACTGGAAAAAAAAAACCATGTTAGTTTGTACCTGGGGGGAATTCCTATCACTCTGAATGTCTGTGCTGTAACTCTGATAAAAACATTACTGAGGGGCAGGCGTTCGGCACCATGGATAAGGCAGCAGACAAAGGACCTCTTTTGAGTCTGCCCTCTCCACTTGCAATCCAGCTCCCTGCTAATGCACATTATTGGAGGCAACCGATGATGGCCAGTGCTTCACACTTGCCACCCATGTGGGAGTACTGGGCTCAGGCCTTCTCCCTGGCTAACCTCACTGTTGAACAATTGAACCAGAAGATAGCATGTCTCTGTCTCAGCCAATTGTAACAGTGAAGTGAAAGGTGACGGTGAAGATCCAAGACTGGGTGCATGTAAAGTGTGTTGCCCATACAGGCCACTCCAAAACTCGATTACACTAAAGCTTGGGCACTCACCCAGACTTCAAAACATAAGAGGTAAAATGGTGCTGAGGCCTGGATTCATTGGTTTAAACAGAGCAAGGCTTTAGAGCAACTCACCCGAGCTCATGGTGGGGGCAGGACGCGTCTTCCACAACCAGGACCCTGGGCAACTCTGCAGAGACACAAACGGCACACGATGGCAAGGATGAGTGGCAGGTTTCAGGGACATCCCTGCAGTCAGTACTGGCAAACACCCACATATGCAACCTTTGATCTCATGGAGCTGAAGCAAGGTTGCTGCACCAGGCTTCCAGCTCACAGAGGGCCAAGTGCCCTCATAACTGTGGGCACCCTACCCTACTCAGCCTCAGCTGTGTCCGGCTGCTATGTTGCTTTAGACACACCCTAAAGCTCTGCCAGCTCCAACACTCCATGATAAAGCTCAAGCTACTGAGAGCATGTGGCCTGGCAAAAGTGTAAAGAAAAGGGGAAACACACGTTTTCTTTTAAAAATCACCCCACGGATCACCAGGAGTCACTGATATCAAGGCTCTGATAGAGCTTAGCAGATGCAGGGAGGTGCTCCAAATGCTTGAAAAATTCACTCGCCCCTCACTGTCACCCTGTGATGTAAGCACTGGTATCATGTCGGTCACACAGAGCTGGGGCCGTTCACCTGGACCAGCTCCTGGGCACAGCCCTCCACAGCCTGCAGGGGGACCTGACTGTTTGCTTGCCCTGTGGACTGTCCTTGCAGCTGTCAGACTAGAATGCGTGAGGCAAAAAGGAAGTAAGTCTGAGTCCCTCTCTGTTCCTCCATCAGCAGTGATGACTTCATCACTATTAACTTCCCCAGAGTCCATCCGAGATGTCCCCCTGCACCTGCCCTCCATGCTGTGGAAACAATACTTCTTAATACTCACAAGCCCCCCATGGCCGTGTGTCTGCCAAATCTCAGTGTTAGGACACCTCGACGTGGTGCTCCTCCAGCGGCAAAAACGCTGTTGTGATACCATCCACGATTCTTATCTAACGGAGTTCTTGTGATCAGTAACATTATAGGAAGGTTTTCGTACTCATTTTTTAAAAAGATTTATTTATTTTTATTGGAAAGGCAGACATACAGAGAGGAGGAGAGACAGAGAGGAAGATCTTCCGTCTGTTGACTCACCCCCCTAGCGACTGCAACAGCTGGAACTGAGCCAATTCGAAGTCAGGAGCCAGGAACTTCTTCCAGGTCTCCCACACGGGTGCAGTGTCCCAAGGCTTTGGGCCGTCCTCGACTGCATTCCCAGGCCACAACCAGGAAGCTGGATGGAAAGTGGGGCCGCTGGGATTAGAATCGGCACCCATATGGGATCCCGGCGCGTTCAAAGCGAGAATTTTAGCTGCTAGGCCACAATGCCGGGCCCCTTCTTACTCATTTTTTTAAAATATAATTAAAGACATCTTTCTGATTCCATTGAGAACTGATCCTCACAGAAGTTATTTTTACTCCTTTACAGTTCTTTCTAACCTTTAGATACAGAAATAGCATTTAGGTAGTTATAATGTCTGGACCACTCTGAGTTCTAATTTTTAAATTAAATATTTCATAAACATTTTCCTCGATTTCTACCCAGTTAGCATATCCATCATTGTAAAGGCTGCATAATATTTTGTTGTTACAGCATTCCATAATCCTGTTTCTGATTCCCTCTGTATAGCTTGCTTCATCTAAATTTAAAAAGTAAGTACAAGGGCCTGACGCAGTAGCCTAGTGACTAAAGTCCTCACTTTGCACACGTTGGAATCCCATATGAGTGCCGGTTTGTGTCCCAGTGGCCCCGCTTCCCATCCAGTTCCGTTTGCAGCCTTGGAAAACAGTCGAGGATGGTCCAAAGGGTATCTGGAGGAAGCTCCTGGCTCCAGATGGGCTCAGCTCTGGCCGCTGTGGCTGCTTGGAGAGTTAATCAGTAAGCCCAAGATCTTCCTCCTGCTCTGTGTGTATCTAATTTGCCAATAAAAATAAATAAATCCTTTTTAAAAAAGTACAAATTACACAGCATCCTTAGGCTAGGGAAGAAATGAATGGAAATGTCTGATGGACCAAACCCAAAAGCTCCCTCAACTCACCCACAATGAGCGCTCATTGTTATAAAGTGGTAGCCCTTTAAATATTTCATAGTTTTCCGTATAGAAACTACCAACTTTGCATGGCCAGCCCCACTATTACAAGCTGATCTAAAGTGGACATGCTCAAGGGTAATATTCAAAATATTTTATATCATCTCATCACAAATGTTTACAAAGAGAGTAGACGCCAGTCCCAGCACTCTCGTTGGGCACCTACTCGTGGTCAATGCTAACCACTCACTGGTCCAGTGGTGACGAGAGAGAAGGAAATAGATCATGGCAGAGTGAGACCATCCAGCACAACCTCGGGACCAGAGGTGACTGTGGCAATGCACTGGTGAGCACCAGTATGGCATACAAGGTCAACAATCTGGGCCAACAGGGACCTGTGGCATGCTCACACTTGGTAACTGAGTTTCCAGCAGGTGACATGAAGAAACAGGGGACAGCTCAAAAGAAAACGCAAACCTCAGCCTAAGCAGTTGAGCCAAAGGCAGCACCCAATGTTTGGTCCTAAACAATGGCAGCAGCAGCAGAGGCATCCTGTCTAGGTGATTCTAGAATCTGATTCTGGCACTTATTTCCACCACTCGGCCTCCTTAAATCTCTGCCCTGGCCCTGGGTGCAGTCTAGCATTCCATGAACTCTGTGAACTGCCTGTGATCTTGCTAATAAATCCCCTGTGGACATCAGATCACTGAGGGTAGGTTCTGACAAGTCCAAGAGGAGGGGCAAGTCCCAAAGTTTCCTTGGAAGAGGAGCGCCCTTACACTTGTCTCCTGAAAGCCGGCCTGATGTGAAACCCAGTGTCTCAGCTGCGGTACTGTCTCTACAATCTGGAGGGCTCAGGGCCTGGGCAGCAAGGCCAAGTCCTAAAGCTGTTTGCATTAAGCCTAACAGAAAAATGCTGAAAGCTTACATCATCATGTAGCTTACTGAGGGACAGTCAGATGGAGAACTTCAGAGTTTATTTTAAATTAAAACCTCTGATACTTAATATTTACTTAGCAACTGAACTGCAGAGAGTTTGATTTGATAGGGCCCATGACAGCATATCTTTGGAATGTCCCTTTCTAGTCCCCTCCAAAAGAGTCACACATTTTTGGGTGAAAGCCTAAAGGATGAACAGAGTCATTCTGCAGCAAAGCCAGACTACTGCAAGTGGGAACTGTAATAGACTGTGGGAACCAGTAAGATGTCCCAGCTTGGGTGGTGGGCTCGGGTCAGGCTGCCATTCCAGGCCCTGGGCTGCCAGGACCTACCATGCTTGGCCAAGGCCCCATGGCTCCACATTCCATTCACAGAACAAGATGCGCCAGAGCTGAGAATGTACCTGGGTAACGCGTGACACTGTATGATCCTGCCCTAATTCCACAGCCTTGTGCTTCTGAGGCCAGTTTTGATAACACAGAGAGAATAATTACCAAAAGGCAAAAGTTGTACTCATGCTGCCAGCTTTTTAAAGGGATAAAATGACCAAACACGAGTTGTTCATGGGGGAAGAAGTCTCATCTACAGACAGTTGTGGAACTGCAGAACGCAGGAGAAATGGAATCTGCCCACAAAAGTAAATTGAGGGTCCACGAAAGGTTCTTGGGTTTTTTAGCTGTTTTGTTTTTGCTTTGAAAGGCACTAGCAAAGAGACAGAGAAAGGCAAGACCATCATCTATTGGTTCACTTGCTAAAGGGTACTATAACCTGGGCTAAAGCCAAGAGCCTCAAACTCCACCTGGGTTTCCCACACGGGTAGCAGCAGGAACCCAAGCGTGCAGGCCAACTTCCACTACTTTCCCAGGTGCATTAGCAGGGAGCTGGATCAGAAGCAGAACAGATGAAACTCTGATATGGGAGGCTGGTGTTCAAACACTGGCCTCCAAAGGTCCTTGCAAGACACCGAGCCTTTCATTATAAACATCTCCAGCTTCTCCCATGCAGTATGATATTTTGCCTCCCCCCTGCACCCAGCTCCAGTTCATACTTCTTAGAAGGGAAGAACCGTGCCATCCTCTGCTCTGAGCCAACAGCAGGTACTCAGTCTTGGCCTCAGCCCTTATCTCTATTTAGCCTTCAGAACTTTTCAAGTCCTACCTTCAAAATAACCCAGACCCTCCTTAACTCCACTGTGGCCATTTAAAAGAAGCCTGGCTCTGCACTCAGACAAATCCCTGGTTCCACAGTAGCTTTGAAATCCAATCTGGGGCTTGATTTCATACATTTGCAGTGACTTCCAGCGGCTGGGAAAGAGTTGAGAAAGCTCGTGGAGCCTCAGAATAAACACTTGGCCTTATTTCTGTTTCTAGCTGATCCATGAGCAAAGCCATGTTTCTCTAGTTTTTTTGACAGCTCCTTCTCAATCTCTATTAATGTCCTTTCTCTTCAAATGCACTCTCTACATTATTGGAGATGGCTCAGAAGGCGCTTTGGAAAGCCAGAAAGGATAAACATCAAGTCCCTGACACTTCCTTTCAAGGGGGAGAAACTAGGATAAACTTGACCCTGCCATCAACTGAGCCTGGAATCCCATGACACGGCTGGGGGCTCAGAACACAACAAGCCCAAGTGTCTGTGAACAGACCGATGTTTCTGGAGCGTGAGCCAGAGGAAAATGCATCAGAATATCCAGCCCCCACATCCTGCCTTGCCTCCTGGAGTCCCTCCAATTTGGTTTCCGTTCTAACCAATTATCTGAAATGGCCTTCAGAAAGGTTTCCAGTGCACACACATGGCCAAGTCCAATGGTTTCTGGGCTGGCCAGGGCCTTACTGATCTTTCCACTGCAGTGAAGACAGTTAACTCCTTCCTCTTCCCCACAAAAAGCTTTAGGCTCTGATTTCTTGGGATTTACATTGGGTCCTAGGCACCCGCTCCCCCTTCCAGCCCAGTTGTCCTAGGAGTTCAAGGGTCATGAGCAGGCTTAGCACCTTGCAGGGTTCAGCAGCAGCACTATAGCTGGAGGGTCTGTGTGGGCCTTGCGGCCCCCTTTCATGGTTTTCTAACTCTTGGGAGGAGGCTGCAGGAATCCCACAGGCACTGTGAAGACCCCACCTGTTACCTCAA